GGAAAAACCCAGAATAATATTTCTGATGAAAACCCAAGGAATCAGGTAGGGACTGAAAACCCAATCCACATATTGGCCCAGGCAGGAATCGAACCCGGATCACAGCGGTGGAAGGCGAGGAAAGTACCACTACACCAACCCGACTCCCCTCAGTTTTTGATTAACACGGAAAATAAATGCTCTTTAGTCTATTGGATTTGAAAATGAACCTGCTATTTTGCAGTAAGAAGGATGATAGAGAATTGGGGATATTGGGTATAAAATAAAGACAAGGCAATCCCAGAGAAGATGGTCGCAGAGTGCACGAATTTGCGACGTGACAGAGTCCTTGTTTTAATAACAGGTGAAGTCTCGGCTTTGGTTTCCATATGGTGGTTCTGTATTGACGTTATGCGTAGCGGCCATCTATGTTTGTGCCTTCCACTTAGTTTGTCTATTGTGCCCGGGTATCCCACTCGACGCCATCAGCTTTTGTCTTTTAATAAGGCTTAATGCGGCATTGCATAATCAGTCTTTTCTTTCTCTATTTTTTGTTTCAATAGGTCTATTGATGCTCCGTATTCAAATGATGTAGTAGTCTTTTCGCAAGCAGTGATTTTTCGTTGATTAAGATGTGTATTTTGCTTTCCTTAAAAATCTGAGTTTTTAGGAATAAGGGAGACCTATGGAAATGAAGCCAGCAAAGTCAATGCTCCCTTCCATGTGATAAATAGGGAGATACTTTTTTATTCACGATTATTGATTTGCTCTTTATCAGTATGATTCACGTTCAATTTTCATGGCAAAAAGAAAGCAACGAATATTCCTTTTTTTAAATGTAGCCCAGTTGATTGATAATATGGTGAGTTTTATTGGAATCTTATTTTGAGTATATCTTTTCGGGGTATCACTTTGGGAAAACTTACATAATGGAAATTTTAGACATTGTATGCCACTATAGCGCCAGAATATGTTGATAAAATGTCGCCAACACGCGAAGACTAGTGGATGTCTCACACTGCGCATGTGCAGCAAGTAACCCCCAAGTGACTACACCGGCAATAGGCTGTCAACATGCTTAGAGGGCATCTTTTGTTATTTTAATTCAGTAACAATAAATGCCCAAGAGGTTCACTCCTGCATATCTGCGCAAAACAAAGGCATTGCCCTCTAAGATGGCTGTCAGGCATAAGGTCTACAAGGAGGGGATGATTTCACAGCGAACAGTTTATCCCAGTCACCGCTGGTTAATACGCATCCGCAGTTGTATGTATAAAACTTGCAATTACGATTTGGCCCATTGGAGCATGAAACTAACACTACTTCGATATTCTGCAGAGGCTCCTCAAAAATTGCTCAGAACCTCTCGTGGGATCGTGTATCCATCTTGAACAGATACGCACCGTGCATTGGCCACCTGCTTGTCGCAACTGATCGAACTGCTTTTTTATCAAAACAAAATACGGCCCGGTTTGATCTGGCAAGTGTAATAATAGTTGAGATGCAGAAGTCTTGAAACCATTATCTCTGCCGTCGATATCTAATTTCACGGGAGATAGCATGCGCAGTCGTGTGCAGCTTTAAGACCAGGCAAGATCTGACAAATATGAAGTGGTTTTCAAATTCTCGGACAAAATCTGATAAGTCAGTAACTGCGCACCAACATTTAACTGGCCTGGGTTCAATTTTGGTAAAAGAATCGTGCGTTATTGAGACGTCACACTTGACATTTGGGCCACGCTACTTCTCACTTCTTTGCCATACTCTAGTCTTTAAATGCTTCTCTCTGCAATTTCAAATGCCAATAAAAGTGGGCAGCAAAAAGTCAAGATCAATTTAAAGCAGAGCAAAGGACTATTAGGTTTGCACTTTGGAAGAGATGTGCAGTGGACGCACATTACTTGCCTGTCATTTAATATTTCTACTGAGATCGTTTGATCTGCGGTTAACCTCAATACGGTTTATGGTATTTTAAATTCTGCTGATAAACATCTTGTCGTTTTCGCGCTCCATATATGTCACTCGCATTCTGGAAACGGGAAATTACGAGATCAAATTGACGTTGTGACATTTGTGGTTTACCATAAAATACGGGCCTGGTGGACGTTTTACAGTACAGGGTGAGTCAGAACGATCTGGACCCAAATTAAAAAGAAACAATATATGTAGCAATGATCAAAACAAATGAAAATGAGATATGTCATAGGCTGGTATTTTTGGACATATTTGGTAAAAGTTTCATGTATATCCATTGTACCATTTTGAAGAAAAGCGCGAGCAAAGAACACACTCTAAAAACACTCTGACCACGGTTCCAGGGTTCAACAAATTTATTGAAATCGTGTACTGATGTGAAGCAGTGTGAAATGTAAAAACCTATAAGTCATGGTGACTGACTCACTTGAAGATATTGACACCTTTAAAAAAGGCAAAACCAATTCCGTGTGCAGACTGGAAAATGAGCCACTTCAATGAAAATGGCATAACTCCTCACCATAGCCGCTAATTTGAAAAATTCAAAATTCCTGTGGAAAACAAGGTAATACCCATTCATTATGAAGCACTCCTACTCTATTTGCCACCAAAAATACATTGGTCTAGATCATTCTGACTTGCAATTGTAAGCCTAGGGGTCTGCTTATACGCAGGCGCAGACATTTTGTGGAGATCAATTACCGTCGGTCACGATGCACGTTTCTCTTCCGGAATGCCATTTAGCAAATAAATTAAATTTTAACAACGTTATATACACCCTTGACGTTCTCGACCGTAAGCGTTTCAAGGAAATGGGTTTTTTTTTTGTTCGGCGGAGCGTTTTCCGCCAGGAAGGTTATGTTTTCATCCGGAATGCCATTTAGCAAATAAAGTAAATGTTAACAACAAACAATCTTGGCGTTCTCGACCATAAGCGTTTAAAGGACTTTTTTCGGCGGAGCGTTTGTTGCCAAGAAGGTTATGTTTTCACAGGATGTTATTTGGTTTTTTTTGGTTGGCTGGTTTGTCTGTGAACAAGACAGCTCAAAAAGTTATGGACGGATTTGCGTGAACAATTTTTAGGGGTGGTCCTTGGTACAAGTACAAATCGATTACATTTTGGAAGTGATCCGGATCTGGGTCTGGATCCAGGCTTTTTTTTAAAGATTCTTCACCATTTATGCGAGTATTTCGTTTGGGCGTACTGACATTATGGCGGGGAATTGTTTAGTCTTGAAGAAGGTTTGCGCTCTCTGAGTACTTACTAGTTTTTTATGGGTTCAATCTCTGCCGGAGATAAAAGTACAGATATTATCCTTGTGCCTTAATGCAAACAAAAATGGCAATTCACTTTAGTTATACCACGTAGATTGCCACCTGTTGATGACTATAGAAATATAACTTGTTTTGCCTTTGGCATGTGGACATGTGTTTTTTTGTATATGGAAAAAAAATCTTCGCATTTTGTTAGCTCGGAATTTCAAAGAACAGCATTCAAAGTTGAATGCTATAGAAATCAGAATGATGTACGGGCTACGATAGTGGGGCATATAGGGAATATATTCGGGGAATTGTGCCTTTAATGATACAGGCTTGCGATGTGGCACACAGTCAGAGTATGCCTTAAGAAAGATATTTGGCTATAGGGTCATCGCAGATTTGTCCTTTGAAAAAAATATAGGTAGAATAACAGGCACATTTTTCAAAATGGTTGCCATTGCTTGTTTTCTACTTTTTTTTTTTCAAAGGACAAATCTGCGATGGCCCTACAGCCAAATGTCTTTCTCATAACATACTCTAACTGTGCGGCATATGCCATCATCAAAGGCACAACCCCGTCACCTATATGCCGTACTATATACGAGGGTTCATTCAACCGTCATTCGGAATATCATTCCACACTCGTGGATTTTATTGAATTTCGACGGGCAAAGTGCGAACGCATTCTTAGAGTTAAATTACTGTGAACTGTTGAATTACTGTGAAACCTTAAACGAAACGTAATGTAATTCGATCGAGTGCGCTCTCCCTTTGCAAAGTTCACATGTTTACACCCAGCACATTCACCTGTATTCTTTTTTATTATTTTTCTTTTTTTTATCAAAAGTATGGCATTACCGAATCAATAATTTTGTGCATTGGCGTCCGTTCCTTTCTTTGTTCGGTTCGTCGTCACCCACGATATTTAAACCACTAAGGTTTTAAAGTAATTTAAGTTGCAATTTATTTTGTCATAAATCGTTAGTCCATATTTAACTATCGTATTTAAGGTGACATGTATGGCATTTACGTCGGAAGTGGACTAAATTGACTCCGTGCCGTAACACGCCCTCAGCGGTGGAAATGCAACAGATTACTGTCCTTGAAGGACACGTTGAGTGCCATTTCGAGTTAAACTATTACTCTCATCAAACTACTTGATATATTATTGCAATCAAATTCTGTTTAATCGTAAATCTGTGTTCATGCTCAAGTAGCAGGTTCAGTTCAATCTGTATTCAGAGCCTTTGCCTCTGTCCCTAAGCACGCTTCTTTACCATAATTGTTTCCCTCCGCTGCAATACTGCTAATACGCAACTACAAGAGGCTGCAGCAGTTTGTTAATCTCTGCACACACAAAAGCAACTTTATTTATTTAATTCCTATTTAACTGGGTAGCCTATTCATTGGAATTCACTGGTCTCCAATGGGGCCCAGAAAAGAGAAGACAATGTGAAGAAATTACACAGTTTTAGAGGTGGGAGGAAAAGCCCCGAAAAAAATGTTTTGAGGAAAACCCACGGAATCAGGTAGGAACTGAAAACCCAATCCCGTGTTGGCCCAGGCGGGAATCGAACCCAGGTCACAGTGGTGGAAGGCGAGGAAAGTACCGCTACGCCAACCTGACTCCCCAGTCATTTTACTCGGAGTCATTTCACTTCAGTGGCTCTAGAGCGCCACCTGCTGTTCATTCACCGAGTCCACGATGGAAGAAACTATTGACCCAGGAAGAAAACAGCAACCTGAGATCAGAAACACTTTCATATCTTTATCACATTTTTTGGCAGGATTCCAAATCAAGGACACGTGTGCCAACCCCAACGTGGCCGTGACGTCATCGCTAGACTTCATCACCAGCTCCTCCAATCTCGGCGCCTGTGACAATAAGTAAGTGTGACCGTGACAGAGAGGCGGGAAAAAATCGCCAACTCGAGTGAAATAATAGTTGGCATTTATTGATTCAAGGGGTCCCTTCGGGTGGTGACAAGCTAATGTAACGTGCCTCTCAAAAAGCTGGGAAAATAACGCATAGAGTGCAGAACTCTCAGGTGTGTTTGTGCGGTGTTTTCTTTATGTTTTTTAAACGATACAATTTCTTACTCTTTTAGTGTATATTTCGGTGTTTTCTTTTTTTTGAAAGGATACGTTTCTTACTCTTTGAGTGTTTATTTCAGTCCCTGCTGGATTTCGCCTGTTTTTCTGAGGAATTTCGACCAATCGTTTTCCTTTCAAAGCTGCACATTTCTCCGTCTTCCTGGCTATTGGGGATTTCAGGCTTCCGAATTACAGATAGTTGCAAACGTTTGACAATCCATGGTTTTATTACAAGAAAGATTTTTTTTGGAAAGGGGTGATGCATCGCACATAGGTGAACATGCACCTTCATACACAACGCAAACGATGTCAGTCTGGCAATTTGGTAGTTCGTTCGTGTTTGTACAACAGATTGGTGATAAGATTGTTCAGTTTGATGATGAAGGCATGACATTTGGCACACAGTCAGAGAATGTCATGGGAAAGATATTGAGCTGTAGGGCGATTGCAGATTTGTCCTTTGAAAAAATATCATAGAATAAAAAAAAATTCAAAAGTTTCAAAATGGCGGCCATTGCATGTTATTCTATAATATTTTTTTCAAAAGAAACATCTGCGATGGCCCTATAGCCAAATATCTTTCCCATGACATAATCTGACTGTGTGCCAAATTTCGTGCTTTTATCATCAAATGAACAATTCAATCATTTTGTGAACCAATCTGCCTGACGATGTGTTATGTGGTTATTTCTGAAACATCTGCTGGCAGTTGAAAACGAGCTGCTCAAAATACACGGAATCATTAGTCTGAAGTGTTATTTTTATGTTTGCTTTTTATATTTGTCTTTAAAAAATTTACCTTAGGGGCCTATTTCTGCAGCGGACTATAATAGCATGTTTTGAAAGATCGATATTTGAACATGACGCAGAAATCTGCGGGTAGATTATTTCCCTGTGTGAATTTAACAAATAAATGCACGAGAAACAGCCGTTAATTACAAGCCCAGATCAAACAGCCGTCGTTTGACGATAGACTCGCGCGAAGAAATTCCAAACGAAAGTCACTCAAATATCTATACTTTAAATTCTGGAGCTTAAGTAACAAGTCCAAACTGGTACTCCGATTCCCACGAAGACGCCACAGTTTACTGCACGGTGGCAAGACACAAAAGTTGACTTGTCACATGCTATAAAAAGCCACAAATGACCTCCATCCTTGCAGCTCTATGTCATTTAATGCCGTGGACAGCCTGGGACGCCTGGTGGCCGTCGTGGGTCCGGCGACAAGCAACGCTGCCGTGTCTGTGGCTAGTCTATTCCAGCTGTTCAAGCTACCGGAGATCAGCTACTCGGCCACCAGCGAACTCCTCAGCGAGACGCGTTACAGGTAGGCATGCAGGGTACCAGTGGTATAGGCTTAGCCATTACAACTTAAACTCCTTACAGTGGCCTTTACTGAAGTAATTATGTCATAGATTTGTCAGTGGTAGGAATTCCTTGAGTCTGTTTGTTGGTCGTAACTTTATATGTTCTACCCGGTACTGTGTCGATGTTGTGTATATGCAATGGAATTTTGATAATTTTGGAGACGCAAACTGGAACCCCAATTTTGACAGTCAAACGTGTTGCGTGTTCTAACTAACAAGGTACCTGAAACACCAGACATAGTGCAATTTCCTGACACTTACAGTACGGCATTGCAGAAATAGGTTACGTCTCATAAATGTCATGTGATATTAGGAATCACCACGCCCTGAAAGCTCTGTCGTATTTTGAAGTTAAACCTTCTTTTTAACCAACAACAGAATATTGATCATCTACGTTATTAAACTTTAATAACTTGGTACACGTTTGTGGATACACCATGCTCAAAAGATATGACAGTTAAGAAACATACGTTGTCTTGAAATTTTTCAAACGACGATCTGAGCAGCGCATACATAATATTGAATTTCAGTCAACTTTGGTTATTCATCAAAGAAGGATCCCTCTTTTTTAGATTTCGTCTCTTGCACAAAGTTCTCCCAAGTTGTAATCACCACCAAAGCCTCAAGTCACGTTTGAACCTTAATCGGTTAATTGCATTCCGTGCTCCACAGCTTCTTCACCCGGGTGGTACCCAGCGACAGCTACCAAGCCGCCGCCCTGGCCGATATAGTGTCTCACTTCGGCTGGTCCGTGGTAGCCACGCTCTACACGGACGACCTGGCCTACGGGTTGGCTGGGCAGGAGCGGTTCCTGCAACACGCTGCGGAGAAGGGCATCTGCGTGGCGTACGAGAACAAGATCAGCAGCAGCAGCACCTTGGAAGATCTGCTTGAAATTCTGGAAGATTTGAGGTAAATGTGTTTTCTGACATGATGTTGATACACGTGGCTGTGGCCCAACCCAACAAAAAATGTGTCACAAGTCTCCAGAGTTACCTTTGAGTAACATGCCTTTTCTCTTACCAGATCCTGCAACGTGGATATCAAAATGAAACAGTCAACTCACATTAAAGACTTAGCACCAGTGATATATCGATAATGAACAAGCTCGAAATAATGTCGGAAGCTGCGGGCCAATGAGTTTGTGTGCATGCATATGCCCTGTGACTGTGCCATGTAATTTCAAAATACAAACTTTAGTGACCTCGATAATGCAACTCTGTCCTCCCTCCCTGGATACCCATTAAAGTGACCCATGGCCGGAGTTGGCCATGGTGATGTAAAGTGCACAGGTGTGCATTCCAACGTATGTTTATACAAATGAACGACTAAACGGAGAGACAGGACGATTGCAGAGCTGCCGTCAGCAATGAAAAACACCTTGCTTTCTACTGAGGATGGAAAGTTACAAGTGATGTCTCAAAGACTCATTTTGTAAGATCCGCCCGCAAAAGTCAATGCTTGAATGATGAAGGTGCTTGACACATGAGACGAAACAGCAGCGATGGAGATTAAAGTGTGGCAGAGCGGGTAGGTTTTGTGACGCGTGATTAGTTGGTGAGAGGTTCTAATCCAGCTGTTGGCCATAGTGTTGTGGCCTTAGACAAGCCAGCTTAACTGTATCTCATCTTTTCATCTCCTCACTAGAGTTTATAAATATCGGCAGTAGTTAAAGAGCAAGCTCTGATGGACTGGCATCCCATCCATGGGAATAGAAATAGTCTCAGTCATTCCATGCAAAGGGAACTTTTGTCCTTGTTCGTATAAACTTAACTTAATACATTTATGATATTAAAATGATTTTTGGTTTGTTTTCAGAGGTTACCCAAACGTCAAAGTGATAGTGGCCTTCGCCAACGAGTCTCCAATGCTGAAGCTGCTCGAGGTCTTCGCTGAGCAAAACGTCACCGGGTACACGTGGATTGGCACGGACGCCTGGACCGCCTCGCCCGCCCTCACCGCTGACCCAGGGATAGCCAAGGTCACGCAAGGCATGCTGGGACTGCGGTACAGCACCAGGGAAGTCGTGGGCTTCCTCGACTATCTACAGAGTCTATCTCCGTGGGAGGGAACCAGTTACCAAGACCCGTTCCTACTCGAGTACTGGGAACAAGCTTTAGCGTGTCACGTGTTCGAAATCCCGCGTGAGTATCGAGCGTACAGCGAGACTTGCGTCGCGAATGAGACATTAACCGAGAGCGACACCTTATTCGCGGGCAAATTCGTCTCCACCATTTTGGACGCGGTGGAAGTGGTCGCCATGGCCCTGCACGCGGCCCTTAAATGCGATGAGTCGCAGTGCGAGGGAAAATCTGATGAGGTCGACCGCGAGGAGATCTTGGCTCTCATGAAAAACGTCAATTTTACCGGTGCGTCCGGTTACAACATCGAATTGACGGATGGAGGAAATTTAGGATCTGGTGCCACTTACGATGTGTTCAATCTCAAGCCTTCGAACTCGTGTGCGAGTGAAATGATGGTAGAAAAGATTGGATTTTGGAACCAAAAGGAGGGGTTCAGGATTCGTGACAACATAAGTTGGCACAGCAAAAACTCCTGTTACGTAGGAACGATACCTTCGTCTTTCTGCAGCGCCTCCTGTCGGCCAGGACAGCGCCGAATTCCCAAAGGATTATCCGAGTGCTGCTGGGAGTGCGTGGACTGCCTGGAAGGTCACTACAGCGACCAGGAGGACGCCCTCACATGTTCCAACTGCTCCGGTGAGGAGATAGTCAACACGGACCGGACCGGTTGCGTCCAGCTGCCCGATCTTTATTTCACGCCGAGTAGTCCATTTGGCATAGCCGTCATAATACTATCCGTCCCGGGGATACTCTTGAGCGTAGCCATTGCCGCCATCTTTAGGCATAGACGTCACACGCAGGTCGTGGTGCGCGCATGTGCAGGACACAGCTACGCCATCTTGTCTTGCGCCATCTTTTGCTTCATCTTCTCCTGGCTGCCCTTTCTCCCTTCCAACAACATCGTCTGTGCAATTAAAGCCTGCCTGCAGCTTTTACCAGTCACACTCCTCCAAGGAATACTCCTCATAACCGCCTACATTACCAAAAAGGGACGAAGGTACGTCCAACTCCGGAACAAAGTTTTCATCGGGGCGGGAATCCTTGCCCTATTTTGTGTATTCACTGCCATCTGGTTTGCAGTCGACCTACCAAAGTTGTCCAGGATACCTGACCCGGAGGCAAAAATTGTCTACGTGGACTGCCAAGATGGCGAGGTCTTGGCTCTTGCCTTGTCTTTCCTTTACAGCGTGTTTTTAGACGCTGTTGGCCTTTGCATGGCATATAGGACGCGGGCAAAAGAGGAGAATTTCAGGGAGGGGAAATTCGTCTTCTTCACCTTCATCGTCCACATCATGCTCTGGGTGGCGACTCTTGGAGTTTACTTGGCCATCGGTGGAGGGAAACACTTCCAGTCGTTCATTCTTGCCGAAGGGGTGACGTTCACTGGCTACGTACCCCTGTTCATGCTCTTCGTGCCCAAACTTTACCTGATGAAGACCAAACCCTACGCGAATGAAAAGATGGACGCAAAAGCCAAGAGGAAGGTTAGGGGAAAACGCATCGCTAAAGTCAAAAGCAGAAAAGCTAGACTATCACCAGAGGTATATTTATCCATTTTTTATTACGACCTTCTCAACAAATTATATGTGTGAACATTATATGTGTGAGCTACAGTGCCCATGGCACTTTTGAGGAATCCTTGGTTTCTTTACCGGAAAGAGGTTTTGGGAATTCGATGAATATTAAAGAAGGGTTAACACTGTTTCTTACAGTTTTAAATCCGTATAAACAAATAAAATCAGAACAGAGTTAAGCTCAAAACAAACCAACAAATCGACAATTAATAACAAACTACGAGGGTCTACTGGAAAGCACGTTGGTTGTAAACAGCGAAACACGCCTGTGTTCATAATACAGCACATGGTTTAATGTCTTGTAAAAAAAAATCTCCCTACTTGCCATGAAACGAAAAAGAGGGCGCACTTACCGAACACGTTTTCCCTGGACAGGTTCTCTCGTCGCGAAGGGCGTTGCTAGACAACTGTAACCGTGCTCTGGAGTCCATCAGAGGCGAAAGGACACAGAGCGTCCGATTTGTCAAGATCTGCTCGGAGAGATTAGAAGAAATGAAAGCAAGGTACGCGTGAGTGGGATTGAAAGTTGATTGAAATGTTTCAATTACACTGACTGGATAGCACACGCGCCTATTGCCTGGCACTGAGCATTGAAGCAGCCGTGAACCACTTTAGGGCCCCCAATATGGCCGTCGCTAGGTGTGAATACGCCGACTAAGATTATACACAAGCTTTGTATACGTTTTGGCTTTCCAAAATGGCGCACTATGACTACGGTTTAATCTGTCGACGCGCTATGCAGTCATTTGAATTGGACAACAATGGGTAGTACTGCCCGACATGTTTCATAAGATCGACAGTGGAGAGTAACAGCGCCCTCATTAGGTGGTGTTTCGCAACTGTTCATTTGAACTAGACGCTTGATGGAGTGTGCACTCACTCGCCATAAAGGATTAGCAACTCTACAATTTATTTAAACAAGTTTCCATTATTCAATTTAATAATAATAGTGTTCGTGGTGTCTATACATGTAGACATAGTGTGGAAGTTATTTTTTTCAGATAAAAGGTAAACAAATCACTTAAGAACCGTTATTCTTCGTTGAAAAGCAGACACCAATTTTGGCTGAATATATAAGATGAAAAATGAGAAAAAAACGTAAGACAAAAAGCGAGTACCAGTAAATCCAAAATATTCGACACCCACTTTTTTCTGTTTTTCCCCTTTTGCAGACATCGTAGGAGAGTGGACGCGAAGAAATCTCAACTTGGCGATTGTCTCAAGAGGAAGGTCCATCTGATCATTTCGTCCCCTACACTGCCCTCAACGTCTCTCTGAACACGTCTTATCGAAGCAGTGGAGTGCGCTTTCAAGCGTTTGCTTGGAAGAGACCACTTTTCAGGATGATTCAGGATGATTTGTGCAAGAAGTCTTCTTGCACAAATCATCATGAACTTAATCATATCCGTCCTTTATTGTACACATGCGGTACACCACTTAGAAAAAAAAAACAGTAGATGAAAGCATTGGTGCATGGTGCACGGAGCGCAGGAAAAAGAGTTATGAGCGAAGTGAAACAGGAGTTGCGCCTCCAACGACGGCATTTCTCTATTGAAAATCACTCACGTTTTTTTTAAATTCTTTTTAACTTATAACTGTCGATGTGCAGCCAAGCATACTTTTACGAACACTGTTTTGTTAATCTGTGTTCCCGCAGAATCAAAATCAAAAGGTTCTTATGTTTGAGAATTTTAAAGAAAATGTATTTTTAAATAACTTACTTTTAGTTTTCCAAAACGTTTGTTATTTGCACATAGTAAAGCATTCCATTCTTAATTTAATGATTGTTCGAAAGTTTTAGTCAGCACGTTATCCGTCCATATTGTCATACACGGTTTATGCGGTTTTGCACTGGCCGTTTACGTTGCGCTTTCGTGAACATTGCAACGATATTTGGCGTCAAACTGCGATTGCGAACAAAATTGTGTTCCAACCTGCAGGACATGTACTTAAGATTTGAGTTAATCCGCCCAATTCGTGTATGAATCAGTCACACAAAAGTCAATACAGTTTGATTAAAAGAAAGTGATTAAGAGGATGAAATCGCAACTGCCTAACCGTTTCCATTTTTGGTTGTTATACTGTTGTGTTTACCATTGTCCTTGTTATGTCTCTTTCACAAAAGTCTCCTGATTCCTTTGTCTCCTTTATCCTTTTTAAGCTCTGACAGGAGCTTCTATATGTCCTTTGGTGGTCTGTCTATCTGTCTGTCCCCGAAAATTGACCAAAAATATTTGACCAAAAAATGAGCAAATGCCATGCTGTTGTCAGTTAGGCCTAATGTTTATGAAAATTTTATGAAAATTTTGTAAACTGAGGCAAGATATGAGCAGTAATGTTATTGTCACGTAGAATTGTTTGTAGTGGTTGGACGGTATCCAGAAGGAGGAAATGAAATTGACTAAATGTATGGTGTTCTATATGTGCCATCGGCGTCGCATTTTTCGCCAGAGCTTATTGTGCATTGGCGGTTTGGGATTTTGGGGGCAATTTAGGGGGGAAATGCAAATGACGTTATCTAAAATAAATATCTGGTATTTTTTTACCATCACGACCATTTTCAGTCTTAGTTGTCGGTTCGACATATCGCTACGTGAAGGATACAGCCCTGTGCGGTATTAATAGACTAAAATACTGTGTAAAGACTTCAACTTTAACCCTACAGCAAAACCAAACAAGGCTTGTGTATTTGTTCTGTCCAACGCTTCGTGACTTCGACATTGTCCCGGTGACGTCTTCGAAAGAACTTTTCCTGGAGAAGTTGGAATTTCACCGGTTTAGTCATACGAAGGGGTAGTATTGATGATAAATGCCTTTACTCGAAACGGACACACAATATTTGACTTTGTCCTTGCATCTAACATTGTTTGTGGTGCTTTTAACAATCCTAGAGGGGCTTGAATAGAGTTTTCTTTGAACTCGACAGACTGACTCACTGACTGAATGTCACTTGTGAATAGACCTATGGCATAATGACGTCACGCTTTGTTTACATGGGCGCTTTCCTATGGGAGACAGGTAGGATGAGATCCACCAAGCCCCCATAGGAAAGTGTACATATAAACAAAGAGTGACGTCATAATGTTTTTGGTCTATTAGACTTGCTTAAGTCTTATTTTGCAGAAAAGTTTGAAACAGGATTACTGCGTTGCGACAACAAGGGGGCTAAACCGGTCCCTTTGTGTAGACCGCATGCATGAAAAGATTTCCGTCCCTGCAGTGAACAGCCATTATGAATCAGTTCACATTATGAATCAGTTCGGGCGATTTACAATGCAGAGCGCCACCAAAAGTTTGCCATTGAGAGTCCATTTGTCAAGTTTACGGTCAACAAAACATGGCCCATTTGAATGAGTGTCAGTAGACAACTAGGACTAATTTGCTATAGATTGGGGCATAGCGTTCTGCCGCCTTACAAAAAAAAACACCATATTGATAAAAAGAAAAGAAAGGGCAAACAGATACTCGAATCATACGGTTACAAAACTACTGAACGGAAAAAAACGAAGAATTTCAATGGGTCCCGCGCTGCACATTTTTCGACCATCTCCCACAATGCACTGGGAAGAATGAACTCTCGTGGCAGACTCTTGATGGCGCACTGCATTGTGAATCGCCCAATTTGAATAGAATTGTGTGCACTCTGGGACCAGCTTTACTAGGCTTGCCTTGTCTTCTTAGCGGATGGTTTGTTGAAATACAGTTGAAATATATTTGAAATTTTGGCACGAAATACATCGTAGCGCTGAATTTGGTGGAATGGTTTGTGGTCCACTCGTCAATTCAATCCATTTTCTTTGGGAAAAATCTCAAATTTTCAGACGCCTAAAATAATTATATAAAGCATTAAAAAAGTCACCACAGGGAACGAGTCATTCGATATGAATATCTTGTGATGGCTTGCAGAGCGCTATTTTTTTAAATTGGGGGGGGGGTTCAACTTTACACCCATATCAAAACTAGACTTTGGCCCACAGAGGGCACAGTGATTGAGATTGATCGATGTGTTCGTTAATTGGTCCACCTGTCTTGGCAAAAATTAATGCATATAGCTGCGTGTTTGAAAACAAGAATGAATTTCCGAGAAATCATGCACCCTGTCTAAGCCCTCATCAATTATTTTTTTTTAGCATGTTTACCTAATTTACTTGACAAAGGCCTACTGTGCAATCCTCATTAAGAGATCGAAAGTTAAAAGTTTAATCAACGGTTTTATTTTGTTTTTCGCGGGGCGAGGGCTCAAATTTCTGGCAACTGCACGGAGATAAATCACATTGCAAAGTTTAATAAGTCTTCCTTCAAGCAGAGCGCGTGTATTCGAATCGGGGGCGAAATTAATAATTTTTGGAGTTCTCCGAGTCCGAGATGGCAAACAGATTCCCTAAACCGGTGGGCAAAGTGCACTGACGTCAATCACTAATTGACCAATAACAATTTAGCGCTGGTTGCCGGGAACCGTTGCCGGGCAACTCTCCATCGGACAATTTCGGCCTGCAATTTTGTGCCGCGGAAATGTTCCCAGCCGCGAAAATGAAATTGAGTCCGATAAATTAAGTGGAGCGAGCGGTACATTAAAACTCGGCCAGCGATCGAATGTGCTGCCCGGGACGGAACCAGAACTGCAGGAATTTGGAGTAATTGTCAATAAATTAAATCGGCGCCAAAATTGTACAACCGTATAATTCCGACAGACGACACGCGGGAGAATACCACTGTGGACTTTGAGATTATTTAGTTCAAACGGCTTCGCGAAAGATGCTGCTTGGCGAAATTTCTTCAATTTGTGCTCGATTTTTGTAAGATCACCTAACGGGCATGCAACCTACACCCTTACTGACGGGGCCTATTCGCAGTTCTCGTGTTGAATGTACACGAGAACGGGGTTTCACATAACCAGAACTAACACACACTCCCATCTTACTGGAGAGCAGATGAAAAACGTGCAGAACAAAGATAACGGACTTAGGCCGCTATCACAACCTGCGTTATTTGTTGTGGATAAAACCAAAAGCACTCATTCAGTGCAGAAGTACACGTATGAATAATGCACGTGATCACAGAGTGGGCTTGTCTTTACCGGGCAACCCTCCGTCGGACAATTTCGGCTTGCAATTTTAATTGTCCCTTTTTTTCGGCGTTTTTAATGTGGCGGGTCACTTGAGAACGGGGTTTCCAATACACCCACTGAGTCTCTGACTAACTGACTTATTATTTATCACTGAGTATATAAAGTCCTAACCTATCATTTTTTTTTTTAATCCAGCTCATGAAGCAAGCCTATAGTCTTTATTTTTAATTCGTAAAATATATTTGTTCAAAAAGTTCAATTGAACCACAGCGCGACAGAATTTTTTTGAAGAAAATACATTATTAACACGCTGGATACTTCACTATTCTACACTCCCAAAGGTCCCTGGTCAGATTTGACCCGAAATCCGGGTTCTATTTGGTCGGACACTTTTTCGGGTCAAAATGACACTTTTCCGGGTAAAAAAAAATGTGACACTTTTCAGGATCGAAAGGACATTTTTCCTGGTCAAAGTGTCATTTTTTCGGGTCAGAGTGACACTTCTCTTCCAGGTTAAAATGACACTTTTCCGGGTCACAATGAAACTTTTCCGGGTCGAAATGACACTTCTCCGGGGGCAAAATGAAACTTTTCCGGCTCAAAATGAAACCTTTATGAGTCAGATGACACTTTTTCGGGTTAAAAAACTTTTCCTGGGTCAAAATGAAACTTTTCTGGGTTAAAATGAAATTATTCCAGGTCAAAGTGACACTTTTCTTCCTCAAAATTACACTTCTCCAACTCAAAAAACACTTTCCAGTTTCCGGATCAAAGTGACACTTCTTAAACTCAATTTGGGTCGTGTTGGGTAAAAAGTGTCATTTTGACCCGGAAAAACGTCCGGGTCAAATTTGACTTTTCAGAGCGTAAGCCAACGGATGACGTCTTTTCATTGATTGAATACCATAATAAAAAATAACTCAATTGAATCAAGTTCTATTTAGTCTGTCTCAGACAGGTGTACACACACTAACCCTAATAAGGATCGAAAGATCTCAGCGATAGGATTGGCCTTTGAAAACCCCAGTACTAGCGTGGTAAAAACAAATGAACCCCGTTTTCGTTTGCAGTCCCCGATTGGTAAACAACAGACAATCCTAAATTCATGTAAATGTTGAAAATCCCTTCAGTACATTTCGGGCCGGGTTCAGGTTGTCAGTTGCTCACCGACATGAGAACTGGTTGCTATTCAGCCAAAGAATTTTTACAACTCGATACACTATGTTTTACGACATTTAATTACAGGCGCCTGCAGACAAGATGTATGCGGGTTCGTGCATGTTAGTAGACAAATTCAAACGATTAAGCGAACTATGGGTAAACAAACTAGACAATTAGGAACGGTTTGTGCTCCAAGTTTAGATCCAAAAGCTCAGTCAATTTAACCTTTGCTGTCTCGTCTATCACAAGATTTAAGAGGTGTTATCAATCAGTGTTTTGCTTGGTTGCAATTTTCAGTATTTCTCTCTGGTAAACTTTGTTCAATTTTCAAGATTCTACTTCCATATACATTCTCAACCGTCTGAATGTGCTGAGTTTGTTTTCATGCCTGTTAATTATTTCTTACTGAACAAACCCAGAGCTTTAATTAAGATGGCAAGCATCCGTGAACACAAAGACTCTGTGAACACGAATTAAGTGGGAAATTCAATGGCAATTCTGTGGAGCAGGAACGGTAAATGTATTCAGCTGTACGATACAAATAAACATCGGCATGATACTAGACAAAACCTTCATTAAATGGTCGAGAACAAACTTCAGACAAAAGGCAAATAACCCTCAGCTCAAGACTTTATTTTTGATTTAAGTCTATACTCCTTGGCCTGAGAGATCTATCCATGCCCCATTAGGATGGAAAGAAGCAAAATCACGATAAAGTAACTTTCTTAGGGAAACAAGCACTGCCCTTGCCTGAATTTCGCAAGCATTACGTTGACGTCTAGGGTAATGCACATGCTACTCCTACATCTTAGCCAAGAGCATTTCATAACTTCATGTTTCAGGTGTTCAAATGCTAGGACCCTATGCTCAGTTGGTTGAAAAAGAGGCTGCGCATGCTTTGGTCAATTAAATATATTCCGACGTTTAGCTATCTACATTAGTGACGACGCGAAAGAGCCTTCTTTGAAAGCCTGGCCTCGTTTTGAAACCAATATGGCAATTGTCTTCAAAGGAAGAACAATCTAATCACAACGATTTGTTTTTAGGATGAATTGAGACATTCAGAGGTAGGTTTCCCCCTTTTCAGTCTTGACCGACACATATCCGTTTGTGTCTGAAAACGACTGGTGCCTGGACAGTGGCGTCTCATTAACTACAGTCCCCAGCACCTTAAAGTCAGGAGACCGATCAAAGATGGTGGAATTGAGTGAAATTGCAGCGTATCCACCTGTTTTAAGGCGTGCACGAGGGAGGGACAAAATTATTTACTGTATCAAGATATGAACCGTCTTAAAACCGTCTTAAAAATACTAGGTTTTTGGTGTGTGTTTTCTACGACACCATGAAGTGACACAGGGGGGCAAGTTGACACCCTGCTACCGCTGGATGCACCATTGTGTGAAAATGACCCCTTAATGCGACACAACGATTGTACCAAAAGAAAATCAGTTTTCCCACTCAACTCTTCCCGTCAATATTATCACTCACCGGACAAATACTGCTTCGTGCCGATTTGTTTCTGAGTTGATAAGAAAGAATTCGCCCTGCTGGTACTACGGCGCAAATCACGAACGCGAGTGAGCGCAGGCCCGTCAACCGGGCCATCTATCATTCTTGAGGATAATTGCAAAACATCACTCGGTCATTTATAAAACGGTGCCATTTTAAAGGGACACCCCAAGCCGAGAGATCGCTGGCACCAAGCCTATACCGTCGCTATTTAAGCCAGTTTCATGTACACAATTTCCATCGCAAATAGCGTGGTGTCCCGGTATAGACCGTATGCGTTAGAGTGCAGCTTTTGTTGTTTTAATTCAGTAACAATGAATGCACAAAAGGTTCACTCGGGCATATACACTGAAAAAACTGTAGTGTTAATTTAACACCATTCGGTATCTATATAGGACAACACCAGTAAAATTTAACACCAGACGGTCCTATATAGATACCAACAGTGTAAATTTAACACTGCAGTTTTTGCAGTGTACCAGCAAAATACAGTCACTGCCTTCTAAGATGGCTGATACGCATAAGGTGTATAGTTACCGCCGTATATCACATATGTGTCACTTATTTGAGTAAATGATGGTCCTGTTATGACGCCATTTGGGGTTATAAACTGGCAGAGATTAAGTTTAATGACGTAAACTTACATATTGTAGTGATTCGAAAATTACAATATTAAAGTTTTAAATTGAAGTTAAGTTGTTAAATACCTCAAATGAAAGTGAAGATTCAATTTCTATACCCAGAAAACGGCGTAGTTACAAGGATAATACGGAAAAATAGTCCGAAGAAACCTATAGGCCTACTGAAGAAGATGACAAAAATGTTCATTATAAAAGGGAGGAAGACAATTCCGGAACTATTTGGGAAGAGAATCCTAAAGAGTCAGATAGGGACTGAAACCCCAATCGACTTGTCGGCATGGTGAGATCCGAACCTGGGCATCAGAGCTGGAAAGTGAGGTAAGGACCACTTTGTGAATCTGACTCAAATCAGAATGTCCCGAAAAAACAAGGCCACCGGTTTGGCATGGGTGGGGAAGGATTCGAACCGTGTTACCAAGCTGGACGGCTAGGAGAGTAGTATCGTTCCAACATGACTGCAAGGAATCAGGAAGGAGCTGCTAAAAGGAGCTGCAAACCTGTTCCACATTTTGAGCTGGGTTGGATTCGAACCTGGGCTACAGAGGTTGAACGTATATAATTAAAGTACCGGCGCCCTAGCATGACTCCCATACTGAAGACACTTTTCCGTGTACGGAGAGGCCAAGCACATCATCCAGCGTGACTGCCCCTTGAAGCTCTCCGCGAGCTGACGGCCTGTCACGGTGGTATTACAAAAACCCGACTCGGTACAATCAAAGCGGTATCATGTTGACCGTGCTCTCTGGCTGCGAGGAGCATCTGCCTGGATCATCCAACGGGGACTTGACGACGAACCTCCGCGACCATGGCAACTGCATCATCCTCCATCGTCATCGTATATCTCGGGGAGGATGCTCCAAAGAAGATAAAGTATTAACAGATTAGATTCGGAGGCCGCTTGTGTATAGGACTTCTGAGGCAGGTGGCTTAATGTGAACCAGTTGTTTATAGCTGCCGAAATAAAGTAACCTGGGTGCACTCAAGTGTCCATAAGGCGCGGAGGTCAGTTTACACGGGTTTCTAACGAGAAAGAGTGCACAGTTTTGCACTGCTTTTTTCTTGTAACGCCCCCCCCCCTGTCCCTTTCCCACCATCACACTCTATTGCTCAGATTTCCACTCCTCTTTCATCTTCAGCTACATTTGTCTGTCCCCTCATTACTCCCTCGGGGTCTGTCCCTCATTTTACACGCCCTTTGTTAATCCTCCCACTCCATTACCTGTGATCTCACCTACACTGGCCTGTCCCCTGTTAATCAATTCCTGGTGGTCTGTCCTCCCCTATTTAATCAGTCCTTTGTTAGTCTTTCAACTCCATCCTCTGTGATCTTCACCTACACCCTTCATCTTCACCTACACCATACATGTTTGTTTCTTGTAACTCCGTCAATTTGCCTCTGAAGAACAACTTTCGCAACTTCAGGCCGCATTAATTCGAAAGAATACACCTCAGATATATTTTTGTGTGTGAAATGTTAGGTTTACGTAGTATGATTATATATTTTAATTATTGCTGTTTATAATTCAATGAGGCAGAAAACACCACAAGTGCAATTTCGGCAGTTTAGTGGACACAACCTCTTTTCTTTCCAGTTTGTGAAAATGTTTTCAATGCGTAAGCAGCCCTTTGAGTTGACATGTATTATGGGCGTCCCTTTATATTTCAATGGTTTTTATATTTTATTGGCCTCTGAAGTAGGGTCGGTCGGTCAAAAAAATCTGAAGATGAAAAAAAATGCAGTCGCACTTACATAGATGGCTAAATTAAATGATGCCAAGTGCGTATTTGTCTATTCTTTTGTTTATTGCTCTGACTTTATCATGAGTTGGCATCAATGAATAAAATATTCAAACCATATTTGGCAAGATGTAGTTGACTTACATTATATCTACACCAAGCAGCTCACTAACGTGTTGGCGGTAGTGGCAGCCATGACATAGCAAAGTTCTATAGACACCTAAAATTATTGTGAGAAGCAACATACTTTCATCTTCTGAGATTCCACTGGTTACTATACGCCTTACTTCGCGTAAATGTCTATAATATTCATTTTTAGTAGCTTGTCAAATAGCACAGTGTCTGAATTCCGTATTCATTTAGTTTTTCAATTGTTTTTTTTTTATCTGTTTATGGGGTTCCAGACGGGGTCGGCGGTAATTGAAAAAAAAATGGTTGTTTTTTTCTGGTAAATCGAGTACCCAAAATAGGATCGGTCAGAAACAGGTGTTTTTTTGTTTCTTAAGTCGAGAGCTCAAAATAGGATCAGTCTGAAATGAGAACCAAAGGAAAGTGCATCTAAACACTTTGTGGGCAACTAAGGCAATTTACTAAAGGTCATTCCACTTCATGCAAGTCATAAGGTCAAAAGTTTGTGATATTCTCGAGTGAATTTTACCGACTCAACATGAATCAGAACCAGAACCAGAAAAAATAAAAAGGGACGCCCTAAAGAACAGCACCCCACGCGTGTGCCTATTTTATAAGGAATATCCCCTTTTTCTGTCTGCTGATACTTTTTAACAAAGTTCTGCGAAACCCAAATTCTTCGAATTGCAATTGAATAGCGCGATGAGAACTCAGTGTAAACTGTGTTCGACCGCAGAGTCACCAGTGCCTTAAAAGTGTAAATATAGGCCCATACAAGCGATTGCCCCATCAGTACACGCACTCTGTCTACAACAGATCACTACAGGCGCACCACGGAGTTCAATAGTGTTGTGTTCTCGTCGCCTACTGCTTAAGCTGTCAGCCAGTGTGCAAGACAGACAGTTCGTAGCGAGCCACCGACGGTGATCACACGTTGCGGAAACTCATTAATACCTCTTATTATTTCGAGAGCTCGTGCTGCCATCAGACGCGCAGATTGACCACACGAGTCGCTCGCAAATTGCGGATGCGTAATCGCACGGGCCGCATGATTAGCCCGCATCGCTCCTTGTTGCCACAAAAATGTTAGAACGCTTAAGTGCTAGGATTCGCGGCCCATAACGTGAAGGATTTGGCGAACACTGACGCATCGTGAAAATGCTCTCTTGAGTAGTGATACGTCCATGGTCTATAATTACGAAGTGACAATATATGTACATCAATAATGTGTTACACCTGCAGTTCCACGTAGACGGGACAAGATATAAGGACACCGACTATCCCCGGACGTCGAGTCTCTACCCGGGGCAACTGGAACGTATTAAAATACGATACAAGAGCCGTATATTGTACAACCTATAACTACTTCGTGACAACCTGCGTACATGTTCTGCTCGATGTAGACTGAAGAAGAAAATACACCATCACATTCTAAGCTATCAAGTCTGCATATAGCTTATCAGCCAAAACCGACTTGTTTGTTGTTTATTGTGTTGATCATCCATCAATGTTTTGCGGCTCTAATGAGCCGAAACCAACTAAGAATGATAGCAGTTTATATATTTTGTTGATCGTCCATTAACGGTTTGCGGCACATCACTAACACGAGTGCTACATGACTTGCCGCATCTGATGTGGGAGTGATTTCATTATATCTTTGATTTGTACTTGTTAGGTTTCGTGATTTCATTCGGTATATTTGAAGGTGCCAGTAAACATCATGTTCGCTTGTTTCTTTACGGTGATCGTATCGACTTTCCTCACCGTCGCTCGAACGCAGGCAGCTGTTGACGTTTACGAAGAGACAGGGGACTACATCATCGGTGGACTGTTACCAGTCTTCGAGGAAGGAGCTAGATGCAACTTTTCTCTCCGGGAGCTGGAGACCCTGCACCGGCTGGAGGCCATGGCCTGGGCCGTGAGGGGGATCAACAACCGGTCCGACATCCTGCCGGGGATCCGGCTGGGGTTCCGGATTTACGACACCTGCTCGTACGAGCCCACCACGGTTGCCAGAGCCACCCTGTTTGTGCCTGATGCCAGCATCAACCTGGGCGCACCGGCCTCGTGCAATGACCCACCGGAGGACTGGAAGCCAGTTATCGGTAAGAAGTTGACCCTGATTATACATTGGGCCTTTTTTTGTTCTTGTTCTTACAAATTTATATTCTTCTTTTGTAATTGATATTGCCCAAACGCAAGGTCGAGGCCACTGAAAATGGTGTGCTGAAACCTAAAAAACGAACTGAAGACGTTTCAGTGACAGAGGGTAACTGCTCACATTTCGTTTGAACTGTGAAAGATTATAGGCAGAAGGGAAACAGAATTCGGGTAGGGAGTTCCAAATAGCGCTTGAGGCAGTATGAGAGGAAAACCCTTGATTAATATCTTGCAGTAGTAGCTTTGAAACCTCGCATAGTTATCAGATAGAACCAAATCGTCACAAAAGGGCACCACCAAGTGTTCTAAAATAAATAATCATAAAATAAGTCTTTTAGTTTCATTGAGCGAAAGAGGAGAAACAATGAAACTGAAATGCCTCTGTCAGTAATCATATTGTGCCCCATTTTACACATATTGATCATACTCCGTATTTCACACGCTTAAACTACTCTGTAGACTTTAATATCCGCCGATCACAATTGAAGCCATTACTGGTACCACGATAGTGCCGAGGTTGTACGTCCCTCCCAATGCTTTTGCGACATTCAGATGGGTGCACCCTCCTTTTCTGTTCTCTCATTGTTGTCTTTGTATTTTGTAGGTGTCGTCGGAGCAGAGATGAGTTCAACCACCAAAGCCGCAGCGCAGCTGTTTGGTGTCTACAAAATCCCCTTGATCAGCTTCTTCGCCACTACGGAGGAGCTGAGCGATTCCAACCGCTACCCTTACTTTCTGAGAATGATCCCCACGGATGACCAGCAGGTGAAAGCCATAATAGCCCTCATGGAGTATTTTGAATTTCACTACGTCTCCATCATTTACTCCGGCGACAGCTATGGCCGGAACGCCCTCAACAACTTCCGAAATAATCTCGCCTACTCGAGTAATCTGTGCATCGGGGTGGAGTTTGAGATCAGCACATTCACGCTCGAATTTGTCTTGGACATTGTGGTCCAGTCCATCATAGACCAGGCAGACACAGCCAAAGTGTTGATCATGTTCACCCAGACCAACCACGCTAACAGGATCTTGGCGATCATGACCAAGTTGGGGGCACAGGGTAAGCTCCAGATAATCGGCAGCGATGGCTGGGGGATGAGCATCGGGGAGATCAAGCTGGGGAACCGAGAGATGGCCCGGGGAGCCATCAAGACCCAACTACCCGACGAGGAGGTTCCGGAGTTCGAAGACTACTTCCAGACGTTGCTTAGAGCGAGCAACAACAGCCTTCCTGGGCACAAAAACCCTTGGTTGTGGAGGTACGTCCTCAGGTACCAACTGCACTGTTTCTTCGAAGAAGGCTGCGACACGGCGTACGGAAAAGGGTTCAGTGAATCCAGTGGTGTATCTCGAGTCATTGATGCTGTGAAGACATACGCCTATGCTTTGGATGAGATGGTTATAGAATATTGCCTGAAGACCACCAATTCAAGCCCGCCGTGTAACGTCAGCGAAATGATCGTCGAAGGGGATACGCTCTTTACGCATATGAAATCGGTGATTGAGCCGGAATCTCCCTACAGGTCGATGTTCACTCACGCCTCCGGACAGGTTATGCAGGAGCAGTACGAGCTGGAAGTTATTAAGCTTAAGGACAGTCCCAAGAAGGAATTCGAACTGAAGCGAATCGGGGTGTACAAGTATAAAGAGAGAAACCTGACAATCACTGAACCGAATATCCCCTGGGGCGTGCCGGGGGACGCGGGTGAGTACAGCCCCCCGCCTTCATATTGCAGCCGGCCCTGTGAACCTGGCTTTATCAGGACGGGGATAGGGAGCCGCGAGTGCTGCTGGGAGTGCACGCCCTGCGCCGTTCGCGATGTTGTGGTGAACGAGACTGTGTGTATCACGTGCGAAAACCGAGAAAACCCAGATGATGCTCGGTTGAATTGCGAGGCGGCGAAGCCTCTCTACATCCACTGGGAGGACCCTGTCGCCATCGTCCTGATGGTCGTCACCTCGCTGGGCATTCTCTCCACCGGTCTGGCCTTCTTTGGATACTTCCGGAACAACAAGCACCCACTCATCAAGGCCTCAAGCCGGGAGCTCAGCTACATCATGCTCCTCGGGGTGCTCCTGTGTTACGGTCTGGTCTTCTCGTTCTTCGGCCAACCCTCCGTGGCAACCTGCTACGTCATCAGGATCGGCTTCATGCTGGGTTTCACCTTCACCTATGCCCCTCTCTTGACCCGGGCCAACCGCATTTACCGTATCTTCAGGGCAGGGAAGAGATCCACAAAGCGGCCGAGTTTCATCAGCCCCTGGTCGCAGGTCATCATTGCGTCAGGCTTCATTGTCATCCAAGTGAGTTGCAAATTTGATTTTCAAAATCTCATATATTTTTTTTATAACATGAACAAAAACTTGACTGGAATGGGGTTGAACCTGCGACCTCCAGATTACCGTTCCGGTCCTCTACCATCTGAGCTTTCCAGCCATATAATGGCGGTTTCCCTTTTTGTCAATATCTTTGCTCAGGGGATGCTACTAAGAAGCCATAAACCCGTATAATTGTACCATGTAGTTAGGGATCACGCCCAAAGTCACGATGCTACCAGTCACCAGTCACAATTTACAATAAAGAAAAACCTACCATAAAGTAATTTGATATGATCTACACAATATAAAAGAAAACATGGCGATTTGTTAGAGAAGCAGTATCTCTTTTTTCGTGGTGTTGTGTTACAAGAATTAATTAACCAGACGGTTTGAACACTGTGACTCAGGAGGTGTTCCAGGGAACAGAGCTCACCTTTCGAAACAAGTTAACTGGTTCTTCTCTCCAACCATATACACACCTCAAACAAATAAATGATGCTACAGAATGACTTTTTAAAGTTAATTCCCATCACGCAAACTAGTATTATCTTACAAATAATGACAAAGGGCGTAAGAGGAAAATTATGCGTACAACCGTCTCTAAGCAAACATAAAAACGCAATGACTAAGTTATTTCCAATGTTTTGTGGGGAACTGTTGTTACAAATTTAGTCCGGGCACATCATAACGTTCCTTCTGTCAGGGTATTACAAGTGCTGTCTATTAAAGACGGCTCTGTTAACATCATTATTTCTATGATATTTATTAATGTTAAATCGTATATCATTGCATTTTCTGTACTCCCACAGGTGTTTATGTTTAGAGGTTGATACTTTTAACTTGTTGGGGTGCAGACGTAAAACAAACAGAACTATCAAGTTGGACATGCTCGTTGCAATATTCCAAATGCCCTTAACAGAGTGCACGTCTCTCTACGAATCGTGGATTGGTACAAGATTGGGCAATTACGCTCTGACATTTCCTGAAAATGTGGCGCGAAACGAGGCGTACTTTGGCGCGAAAACCGAGGAAAGAAATATGTTCAACATTCATCCTTGTCTCCGGGGATTTAAAAAAATCCGGTCTGTGCACGAACAACGACTCAATCATTAACAGTTGTTGGCCGCATGCAACCTTCGTGCGTGCCTGTGTTGTTTGCACTTGTTTGGTTTGGAAATCCGTAGGCGCACGCTCCATTCGATTACGAAATTGCGCCTTTAAATGAGTCTAACAAAATTAATTAATTTCCAGGTTGCATCCAACACTGTCCGTAGGTAGTTTTTGCGCGCGTGTGGTTGGTGTTAAACTAGTTCAAATGACGCTGGCGACGGTCGTTTATTGAGTTTCTAGTGTGTTTTTTAGGGTATCAAAGCAGAAGCAAAATTAATCTGGAATCTAAAACCTATGACTTAAGGTCTTTATATATTCAATTCTCTATATGACTTGCTTCGGTGTGAACGAATTACTTGGGTCACGAATGAACAGGTGAAACATTAACAGAGTTAAACAATGAACTTGTTAACACCGACTCCAGAAGTACACTCGCTATTGTCGGGCAATCGATATGACAACACGAACCAGCTGAATGACAAAAAAATGTAGACTTCAGGAAAACACGGGCTCGGTATTTTTCAAGCCTTCCTTATAATAAGTGGGTTGGGCGCGTCAGCTTTTGAAAACATCTACTCATTACCACGCAAGTTTTTGAGGTAAGAATTTGTTACCGTACCCCAAACTCGTGACCAATCAAGGTAGAACAAGAGATGGCAAATATAAAGAGTTTCTAAAATTCTGTCCGATAAAGAAATAACTTCGATCTTGGCGTCTTCATAAAATCAAATTAATTTCAGAGCGACCTATTTGGAGTAAATTATTTTATAAATCAATGTTTGCCGTTGTTGACGTTTTAATGCGCTGATTGATTGAAAGGTTATCTTATCCTTAAGGACATTGTTTTGGCGTTCAGATTTTCATTACGATGGGGACCGTATACAGCAAACATCATTGAAGTACAGTGCTAACACAGTGAGTCCGATACCCAAGCATGATGCATATATCCGGAAGAAAAATCTAAGCGGAGACCACTCCAAACTTTATTGTAAATGACACAAATGGTGCGGCGTATTAAAGATTGATATTGGCGCGTGACTGGTAAATTAGTGCGAGATCGCGCACTTGGTGCGTGCGTGCGTACGTTGCCACGACAAGCGCGTGCATTTGGGTGCACTTTCAATCGGACATCACTGTATCACTGCGTTCTTTTCGTATATACGAACGTGACACAGATTTTAAGTTGAGGCCAATATCGCCGATCGTTCCGAACATTTCCTGCAGGCCAATTTATTAGGCAAAATGATATCACCGTGTCCAGATAATTACCAACCCGTTCTCGACTCGACTGGCTGGCTCGCTAAGAGTCGGTTCCCGATCAGCAAAATTAAAAGCAAACAGATCTCTCAGTTTTCTGCGTCATTTTGTTTTGTCTTCAGAAGGGACAACCGAAATATGATCGGCGTTCGTACGTGGGTACAGACTATGGCGGGTAAACCGCGCGGCCGCAGCTTGGTAAGAGGGCAATGTCTCGCAGTTTCTCTTTTACAAGCCGCTAATGTTGTGTAAAGAAAACAACCTGAGGTTCCTCCGATTAAATTTGCTGCATTAATTTTCCAATTTGCGCTGCCATGAAATCGTCGGGGCTGGTATATGTTTGTTGAAAGACGGGTCAAAGAACACATAAAGCATATATAGCCCAAGTGAACTTTATATTCTATTCTCGGATATATAAATCGCAAGTTTATCCGGGGTAACACCAAAGCTTTCGCCTGTGTTTCCCGGAATCAACCATTTCTTTTTTTAGAATTACATCAGTCACAAACAACGGAAAGACAAACACTGTGGCAAAAAAAACTGACCGTTCTGATCTTGGTAAAAAGAAAATAATCCTATTCCACAAATTCCGGTGGACGCCATTTTGGTTCCAGGGCATGCTCAGTCTTGCCTGAATCTGGAATTATGGTAAGTTGACCTATGTAAGGCTCCATCTGTTTAGGCCTTAAACATCAGGAATCACATAATGACGTCTTATATCACGACGTCACATAATGACATCTTATGGGAGCCAGATAGGGGCCAGACGAGAGCCACCGAGCTCTCGTAGAAATGAGCACATTTAAACGAAACGTGACGTCATCATGACCCAGGTCTAATACACATGCACTAAGAGAGCAGCCACAACCACTTCATATAGACACACGTGTCACTGCCGGCCGCGCCGTAGCATGGTAATTCACGAAGTGGCTCAAAAAGGTCCGAATGCGAATCATGTGCTTTTCACATTCGTACAAGACAAGCACAACCCTTTTCTAACGTTGTACGGCATACGCTTCCTGTTAAGTTCACACCGCCTTGGGATTCTCTAATTGGAAATTCAATACGAGATGCACTTTTCTCTGCTCCTTGGAGACATAAAAGTAATCATATTTGATCTGTCTTGATGGACTTTTATCTCCGGGGGAAGAAACATATATGTAGCTTTGATGAGTTCACACGCAAGCCAGCCTGCATGGAAATATTTTAACGTCAGAATCGTTGACAAATATTCCTTTTAGTGTCAATGACCCCCGAGTTGAACGTCACTTTCACATAAACATTGTCAACTGTTGTTTTCTGAAATCGTCAAGGCACATTTTCCCACAGCTGATTAGCACATTGATTGGAAAATTTTGGACAAACAAGACAAACTTAGTTGAGAACCAATTTCGAGCAATATAATGAGTTTTGGGCTGGTTATACATGTATATGCTTTTGTTAATCAACCGTTTTGTGAGCTAAACTTTCTGTGCTTTTCAACTCCGCCAACAGTCCTCGGAAAATACCTGATCGTTGACTGCATGGTATCTGATATTTAAGATTTCTCAAGCTTAAAGTCAATTTGTCTGCCAAAATATCGTATACGATAATGTGATTAGTATTCTCAACAATCCATCAAAACTGATATTAAGATTTTGTTGGCCGCAGTTTCGATTTTTTTTCTCGAAGTTGACGAAGTTTCATTTTTCAACCTACGCCATACAGAAATGAAGTGGATTGTTCAGCTTTATATACTGTTTTCGATTAATCGAAGCAACATCGATTCATCAAATTGAGTCCGGAGTCTTCTGATACGATCTTTGATTGATAGCGATGAAGACAATTTTATACAACCAGTGTTCGTTTGATTTGCGTCGGTATAAGTGTACCAACACGGTTCGTACCGTTGCCCACCGTTCTAATTTATTTGAAGTTCCCCAGTTGCCCTGTTACTAGTTTTCTTGCCTTTATTTGTTGTAGTGTCTTTTCTGTAGTTCTCGGGATGTTTGTTTTGCCACAAATCTGAATATGAGATTGAAGAAGGCTTTCACTTTGATCTTCTTCAATGCCATGTTTTGCAAGTCTCCAATTTCTCACGTTACGTGTTTGTTCTGTAAGGGTATACATATTCAAAGTCTCTTGCGAATGATGCTATCGGTCTATGCAAATTGTATTAGTGGATTCTTAAAGCAGAACATTGCAGTTTGAAATGCGGAAGCGGTAGTGTAACGGATGCAAGCACACGATCGAAACACCTTTAAACATTCTTTAGAGCTGTGGAACATGTATCAGTCAAAAGAGTGCGAATACACGGGTGTGCTTTACTATCGCTTTCTGGATCTACGAATGGGAAACGTGATCTAACATTAACTTGCAACACACAGTACATTTGGTCGGTTTATGAAATTACATTGGGCTGGGTTAATATTTAGTAGCAGACTTCCGCGCATGAATCGCAAGCTGGTTTAATTAGTGTAGGACTCGAGTAGACCACTTTCTAGTTGCTCGCATTTGATAGGTAACTATTTGTGTGTTGTTATTAAATTTGGCTTTATTAGCGGGAGTGTTTTTGCCATTATACTGTCCGATTGTCTACTAGCATAAAGACTGTTTTGACGGTATAGGCTTAGGTGGCTTTTTAAAGTGGTTCGCTGTTTAGGCCTGTTGTGATACAGGGAGACCGAATGCATGGCTGGTATGCAGACTACAGTACATACTGTTTGTATCTTGGCACTAGTCCTTTCACTGTTTAATATCACATTCAGAAAACGACCAGCGCCTTGTTGATATTATGACCTCTGACGCGGGTCAACGTAATTTAAACATCGACACGCACCACAACCCCAGACTGAACCCGAACCCACAACCTTTTGAAGCCGCATGCAGTCTTTTTGGTGAAGATTACTTCTGGATTGTTTATAACTTTGATCAGTACTTTCAAAGAAAATGTTACTAGATACAAATATGTGCAAGTGACAGCACGCCCGTCTTTTCTTTCTCTGATATGGATCGGGGTCCTAAACTGCACTTTTGCCTATTTGATAACAAAAAGCGCCCTGAGCGTCTTTTCCAGCAGATTATGGCGCTATATAAATACACATTATTATTACATTATTATTTATTATTATTATTATTATTATGACAAAAGTATAGGCCTAGGAGTGTCACTTTAAGTAATATGTGCTGTTTGAGTCCCAAGGAACAGTATGGGATGAAAGGCTCAATTTGCCGTCAATGCACAGTACAGACCCTATACTGCTTGAGGAGGTTACTGTTATAAATACATTATGCTATCTCCGTGTGGACCCACATCATGTTGTAAACGATGTTTGGGCAGAATTGTGAGGCAATTATAATATTCTCGTCATGCGACACCATGCAAACAGGACATTCTACGACATGTTACACTCATAAAATTACATTGATTAATTTATATAGGAGTAGGTAGTGCCGAATGAAGTTAATATTAATTTATTCGAACTTTTGTCGATATCGGAGGGAAATGACGCCGAGAGCCACATGACACGTAGTGCACTAGCTGTTTTAGGTATTGACACCCCACTATGGGACGCTGCGTGGTCATGATATGCATTTTATCGACGGATACTCGAATGTATCATAAATAATGTACATAATATTCTTCCATGCTGTTTATATTTTACCAAAGCTGTTTATTCCATACCTATGTAAACTACTTATTCGAACAGTTCAATTAGACTAACAATTGCATGATCGATTGTCTGCACTCCAGTCTATGTACGAACCGTCTGTGCTCATATTCCGACCTAGTTAACAGTACATGTACTATAGTCTGCAAACAAATTACACAAGCGCACTCTCCAAAGACAAGCACTGTTCGTATATGAATCGGAAAAGTCTGCTCTTGTGCATTCGAGAGCTAAGCTAGGCCGAGCAGCAAAAAGTCATTTAGCCTCCGTTTGGGAATAGGCCTATTTATTTCATGGCGTTGCTCGTTGGACTACCAGACCCTCAGACGCCTTGTGTACAACGATTTACATCCCACGAAGCCAACATGCACCATTTATTTTCGATATCTGTTTCGCCCTACTCTTTATCTTGTCATGGTGTTGTAGTACAGCGCAAACACTGTGCTTTAAGATCGTCGAATGCCAAGAAGGCATTTATTTTCTCCTCGCCACGTTACCATACTCATCGGGCATGAAAAGACCGCGTTCGAATCCAGAACACGAACCGGAGATGGTTGACCAAGGGGTTGGGCAATTAAACACGCTACCTACGGGCAAAATTAGTTTTTGAAGTCAAGCGGTTGCAAATATCCTTTTGTCGTTAAGTGTTTGGCAGATGCTCAATATTATCACTAGAGGTCTTGAGGTGACAGGTTTGAGGGAGAAGTTTTAACCATTTAAGTCTTGAAAAAGTGAATCAAGATGGTTTACGCAGTGAATTGGTACACAATATTCACAATGTCAGCCCTTATGATAGCATTATGGTAAACCTTAGTGGCCCGCTTCTAATAACACGCTATAAAATCCTTTGCACAACCTGCCATTTCATTTCAGTGACATTAGCGGCAAAGTTAAAGAAAACCAGAAATACCTTTTGTCCACAGGTTCATTTATTCATACTGTGAAGCGTGACGTCATGTCTTGAGCATACACTGCGCAGGAAAAACGGCAACCGACGTGAATGTCAGAACTTTCGTCGCGAAGTGCAGACTATACTTGTGAAAGACGCCCTCTGTTTGCATCGCCTTCGAAGTAGTGTAAGGTTTTTTACATACAAACAGCACACGTCCACGTGCTTCCAATATCTTATTGGTTTCTATGCGTCTTGGCTGTGCCGGCGCCACCCTTAAAGTTTGATTGGTCTACTTCCCATGCACATGCATGCGTCACGCTTAACGCAGCAGACTATTGGAGCGCGCGTAGATATTTAAATTAGATTGACACCTTCGTCATACGTTCATCTGACAATCCACGCGCTATGCGTTTAATATCAAACTATGGCCCGCCACGGACCGCCATTTTGAGTCTGTTTTCTTGCTAGTTTTGCACTGGCTCTCGAGAGGCCAAACAACGATATCTTCGATTCATTCGCGGAGTCCATACGCGTGTACTCAAACAAAAATAAGCTACGAACCGATTTTGTTTTCTTCCAATTTTGGCACGTCAGGTGCTCTGCAAAGGCCATTTTTTTTCCCGATTTATTTCTGTTTATGTAAGATCCATTTTAAGACTTTACGACATAAATAAATGCTCTGTAGTCGGCTTATTAGTATTGGATTTATTATTACCGGAATTGCACTTACGACGCCGTCCCTGAATGGCCCACTCTAAAATCCACTTAGGCGTAGGTAAACCTGGATCATCGAAACATGACATTAAAAATCGAAGGAAAAAAACACCCCGACTTTACTCCGAGGATGGATGTGTTTTTCCTGTATGTCGAGTCTAATTCGCCCTGAAGGGGTCGGCGAAGCTTTTGCGGTTTGTCTTGATGCATTACTATTAATCAAATCTGATGAACGCTAACCGCGTATCACGAATCAAATATGACGAAAAGCGGCTCCTTATAAAAGCGAATGCAAATATTAAAACCGATTGTACAAAATTATGCAATATAGCGGAATCGCAAGGATTTATTGCTGTTCGAGATTTCATGTTATCATTATCAAACTTTTGTAATTACACATTTCTACTTTCAGACGGAACTTCTTTCCTGAAGATGGCAAAAGGTGTCGCACATTTTATAATCATATTTCACTTTTGTTTCTTCCCTCATAGGTCAGATTAAAAAAAAAAAAAGAATTATAAACATGAGGTAGAATTTACACTACCATTCTTATGTGGTGTTCACAGCGCACTTTCTTTCTCTTTGAGGAAAGTATATGACAGTCAATCATTTTGTGTTAAATGTTTGTTCAACTGTTCGTCTGTAATTTGTCTTGAGCTTGTCTTATTCACAAAACACAAGTAAAGCTCACAGCACTTGTTAGGTTTGGAAGAACATCTAAGGCTATGAAAGAAAAAAATACCACCCATCGCAAAAACATTTGGATGGCAGGTATTTAATTGAAACTAATGTCATATTGCCCCGTGGCATAAAGTACTTTTGGGGAGCACATGTGTCATTTGCACTGAAGAACCCAGAACGTGCATTCCAATTGGTTCACGCGTATGTAGAAAGGAGCAGTTAAGATAAATTGTCTTGCTTAAGGGTAAAGGCCGTTGCTCTAGCTATTCTTTCTAACTTGGAGCACTCAACCAACGTATGTCGTGGTCACTGGGGGGCATTGAAGGTCTCGTAGCTAGCTTCACTCGGTTGATCAAGGCACAACTTCCATCAAGAATTCAGTTTTAACCATGTTTGGACTTTACTCTTATCGAAAGTACAGAGTGTCTTCTCGTGTGAAGTGCAATGGCCTGGTAGGTTGGAGCGTTGTGGTCTCCGGGTAATTCAGCAGGTCGTGGGTTCGACTCCAGCCTGGGGGAAAGGCACTTTGTCACTAACTGCTTCTCCCCACCCAGGAGTAAATTTGGTACCTGTTAGGGCAGAGATGGTTATTGTGATTGATTTAGCTGCTTTGCGCCGAAATGGCTGCATCGAGCTGTATACTCCCCAGGGAGCTGAGATAGTATTTGGAATGTTTCACTGGCACAATGAGCAGGGTAATAATGATGATGTAGCACCTTGAGCACCGATACTGATGGATACGTGCGCTTTATAAACTTCCATTATCACACACACATTATTATCATGCGTACTTCAGAAGAAACACTTTCCTCAATGCGCAAGACGGCACAGGCTATCATTATCATTAAGAGATAAATGTATAATTCAATCTCTGTGCTATCTTTTTGCCCACAGCTCGTCATCAGTATAACGTGGCAGATCAATGATCCTCCAGCCCCAGTGGAGAAGGTCCCTACGGCGGGCAGCGTAGAGCTCATGTGCAACATCAACACAAACGAGATGATCATGTCACTCAGCTACAACGTCATCCTGGTCCTGCTGTGCAGCGTCCATGCCTTCATGACGCGCAAGGTGCCAAACAACTACAACGAGTCTCGCTTCATCAGCATGAGCGTGTACACAACCATGGTCATCTGGCTGGCGTTCATCCCTTGCTTCTTTCTGCTCCCAGGAGCTGTGGTGCAGCTTGTGGTGATGGCAGTGGCACTTATCATAAGTGGAAGTATCACCCTGGCCTTCATGTTCTTCCCAAAACTCTACGCCGTGCACTTTGTCTCTGAGGACAACGTTCATGCTGCTGGGACCTACCGTGATCCCGGCTCCATCACCGACGCGGGCAACATCGGCGTTGGTGGTGGTGGAAGTGGTGGCAGCAGTGGCAGTAGCAAGAAGAAGCTTGCTGCGCTTCGTTTCGATCTCAACAGCACGGCCCGCTCCTTGATGCGCAGCTCGAGTGTTGCGCCCACTACGGTGAACCTGAACTCCCAGATCGACCTGAGGGACGACCTGGCGGTCCCGGAAGGGAAAACTCGGCAGAGATGCTTTCAGTCACTGACTCCGATCCAAACTGGGGACCAAAATGACATTAGTTGCACTGGTACCTGATGGAATCCAGTAACTTAAGAAATCAGTGTACAATAACTTCCGTCCTTTCAGACTTTAGATCGCTCGTACCACCGGTGACCTCTGGCGACCTCTGGTGCTGTCATTTTTTAATAGGTGATGTAGGGCAGTGGCGTAATTGCGTGTTGACAACTGGGGGATGAGGCATGCAAAATCCTGAAACCACACTGGAAATTGCAAAATAATTCAAAAGCTCGGGGGGGGGGGCTGGACCCCAATTGATGCTAGATGGCACTCTTCATAAATACAATCGTGTGTGAATATTATTGTACATAATACACCAAGACGAAATACTTCCGCCTCCGATTATGTGACGTTTCAAAACTAATAACTAATTTTAAACTCGATATTTCATTGGGTTGGATGTTCTCTGGTCTATATCCACAGCTTGTTTTTCCACAACCACAACATTTTTTTTAGTTCAGCACAAAAATCTGGGGGGGGGGGGAACCAATCACCCATCCCTCTGGTCACAAAGTCGACATCTGGCATTGGTGGCGTGCCGAAAACTCGATCTAGTATCGACCTGTTCAGCAAGCGATCACCTGAAGGTCAAACACCGCCTTCAACTGATTGGACGCGCAACTAGGCGTGACGTTCCACTCTCGTTGCTCTTGGACAAAAACAACCAACCTGCAGAACCGTACCGTAGAGGTGGCGCACTTATGCGAACCGACCAACAGCAACTTTCTGATGACCTGAGGATGATTGGTATTTGCTTGAACAAGCTACACCAAACCACTCAAAATGATGAACAATGGAAACGAACAATTAAACACGTTATGATGTAGTCACCGAGCAACGCCCGAGCGCTGCACGCACACAGACGTCACCATGATGGTGATGATCATGCTGTGAATTAACCACAAACCTTTACGGTACTCTCACAAAATTTTGAAAAATGGATTAGCGGTCATGAGCGGCCCAGTGACGTGGACGGGGTACAGTTTGTAGGGGGAAAGTAGCACTTAAGGGCATCATTCAATACAGAGCGGTAAGGGTTCTCTTTTTTGCCTTCCAAGGATTTGGAAGGGTTGGGTGGTTAGGGGCACATGACTTGAGCGTAGTTGTTATCCCTTCCCTTACGCCACCGCAGCGGCTGTCGGCACGCCCCGAGCAAGTAAACACGGCCCAAAAAAAGAAAGTCCACACTCACTGGAGGGGTCATAATTTTGAATCTGATTGCCTTGTGATGACGTCATTTATAAAAACCTTTGGGGAATTTTGTTAACTTCATCATTTTTCAAAACTCTTTATAAATGACGTACGTAAACACGGCCAAAAAAAGAAAGTCCACACTCACTGGAGGGGTCATAATTTTGAATCTGATTGCCTTGTGATGACGTCATTTATAAAAACCTTTGGGGAATTTTGTTAACTTCATCATTTTTCAAAACTCTTTATAAATGACGTACGTAAACACACCCAAAAAAAGAAAGTCCACACTCACTGGAGGGGTCATAATTTTGAATCTGATTGCCTTGTGATGACGTCATTTATAAAAACCTTTGGGGAATTTTGTTAACTTCATCATTTTTCAAAACTCTTTATAAATGACGTACGTAAACACGGCCAAAAAAAGAAAGTCCACACTCACTGGAGGGGTCATAATTTTGAATCTGATTGCCTTGTGATGACGTCATTTATAAAAACCTTTGGGGAATTTTGTTAACTGCATCATTTTTCAAAACTCTTTATAAATGACATACGTTATCAAGAGACGATCAGATTCAAAATTTTGACCCCTCCAATCTGCTGTACAGTATTTCGAATTTCATTTCACCAAAATGTTAAAGCCACAAATGAATTGGCATATTTTTATCTGTATATCTACAGCGAGGTTGCATGAATAAATATGTGTATAGTTTCATTATCTTATATTTAGAAGACGAGTGTTAATAGGAGGTAAACGGCAAGCTAGAATTAATGGTTTCTGGTTTTAAAAAAATGTATATTATTTAGCACAAGCTCACACTGCATTGACATCCAAAATACCACGTGACTAATAGCGTCACGTGAAAGTATTTTTTTACGAAAATGAATTATTTATTTATCGATTTAATAAAATTACAGATACATTTTATAACTTATCTTGTTTCGATTTTTGTGCCATCCAAACGTTGAATGTAAAATTAATTTTTGCTTGCCATAAGAACAAAACCTGTATCATATTTCTCATTTTTAAAACTGTAAATATATAAACCTGTAGAGTATAATCTGGAGTCATTCGTTGCCTCGATAGTGCATTGTGTAACGTTATGTATCATGATATTCATTTTGAAAAATGTATGATAAAATAATGTTCCATAACTTTATACTGGATGATACAACAATTGAAACGAATATGTTGCTATGAATAGCAGGTGTCAGATTTTACTGAAAGATTGATTTTTAAATTGTCACTTGTTTGGAAAGCATTATTAATTCTTGATTTATTTTTTAATATGACTGCGATAATTTAAAATTAAGGTGAATCAAAACGTTTATGATACGTGAATAAAAACGTTCGTCATATATTTGTATTTTAATTGCAAAAGGTTATCATTAAGGATGGAGCATGGAAGGCGATCTTTTAGATTTTTTATCCGACAACTTGTTGTATAAAAAATAATATTAGGATGAACGATCTAAAGACCGCCCCTGTTTTGGTTTTTGGAAAGACCTCCGCTCACAAGCAACACCCACAGAGCGAGGGCGCTCTTTTTGATCACACCAGACCGAACACACGAGATAATTAATGTAAATGCCTTTGGAAAACTACGGCATGACCGGAACTTTGACTTTCATCACCGAGATATAATTCAGTATTCTTTTCTTTTTTCGATCTCAAAATTTTACTGGATCTTGCCCCTAGTTCTTTGCGTTTCGGGACAACATTCTTTACATACACAAATATTTGTTTGACCTCAGCAAGCGGTCTTGGTTAGGAACAGCAGGGTGTGCATTGGGGGAGGCAGACCGCGTTGGAAAATTGTTCACCCCATGATAAAGGCACAAGTTCTATGTTAGAGGTAGAGGGCGCTGTTGCAAACTATGAATAGTCTGGTCGCATGGACGCACTTTAAACGAGTGATTGTTTATGTATGCGGTGTCTGGGGTAAAACATAATCAATTCGTCGCTGCTTGACTTTCAAAAGCACGATTTTCTCTCTAAGTTAAAATGTTACAATTTTATCAAGCCATTAAGTATCACTCGACATATTAATATGAGTAAGATGGAAAGGGTGCGGTTGTGACGTGAAGAGGACGTTATAATTTACAGCGGCCGTGAAAAAAAAAATACGCAATACACGTTGGAAAAGGGCCAAGTAAACGAAATGCATTACTTGCTGTTGTTTAATCGATCTTGATCGGAATACAGGGATATATTTTTCCATCAAGGGGTTACCATTGGAAACGAGGTTGAAAATAACGTAACCCCTGGGGACGAGGTTGCTGTTTACTTATAAAAACAAAATATGGAAAGCATATTGGTTGTTAGAAGTGAATTTGCCATCTAACATACTACTACCTTATAACAATGGAATTATAAACAAATCATTATAATTTAACAGCAATCTTTATCTATTTTATTGAATACAGTCGTAAAAAAAAGTAGGAGTTAACTTGTGACTTCAATTTTTATATTAAATTCCGTTGAGAAAAGAAATTGCTTCATGTACTTTACTTGTATTGTTTTATGTTATTATCAATGCTAAATGGGACTGTTTCTGATGGTTCCCACACCATATTCAAATCGAGGGATACGGAAGCATTGCTAGCTTCAACAGTGCAGCATCAATAGAGCTATCCTGACTGTTAATCATGGTCACTTGTGTTTATCTTTTAGAAAATGCAATGTATAACGTGAACCGGTCCAAGATTGTTTTCGTTGTTGTACCGGCACTTCACTGAGCATTCAATGTTATTGGGAATTGTATTAGGCCATCAGCCTGGGGGTTTGGTCGGTATCAAATCAGGGCATAAATGATTATAGTGAGCATGCGCAAGGTATACCGCCCCTAGAGTGGTAACAAGCATTTTGATGGACATATTGAAAAAAAGGGTGATAACACCCAAAAAGCTGCCACCGCTGCAATGCTATAACATATTTTTCAACTCCGGAGGCGTAGACCTTGCCAAAAATCGCTATGACGATTATTCCCCTCATTTGATACCGGTGGCCAAAATTTTGGACCGAGGCTGATGGCCTATTGCCGTGACGAATATTCGGTCTGTTCCGCGCTTACTTTGTTGTTGTGACATCGTATAAAGGAGACGGAAATCAGACCTTTTGCAATTTCGGACTTTTTTCACTTTGAAAAAAAGAAAATTCCTCCTGAGCCACGAATCAAAAATCACAAATAAAATATTCTGCAATTAAAATTAATGAAGAATTCGATTGAAAAGAAACAACGAAGGAAAAAAACTCTTAAGTTGTTGGAATGAAAATTAAGTAATTTGCAGGAATTGAAAACAAGAAACAATAAAATGAGAGATGTTGCGTCTCGAACTAGTGTCATCCTGCCTATGATTCAAGCGCCTTATCCATCGAGCTATGTACACGTTTGCACAAAATACTGGTTGGTAATTTAATTATAAGTGTATTGCGTACTTATACTACAGGTACGCGTGCGCAGAGGAAGTGCCGGCACAAGAACGAAAAAAATGCAGGACCGGTTCACGGTAATAAAACGCTTCATTTAGAAAACTTACATTTGGTCGCATCATCCCCTCCACTGCATCTTGTTTTGACGAGCCATCCTAAATCAGTTGACCGGTGGTTTTGATTCGGGTTTCTCAGCTGTCCTTCTCGGTACTAGAATTCATATTTGAAGTGATATCGGTCCATTTCAGCACATTTCGCAGACACTTCGAACTCTCTGAAAATGGGAACCACAATGCGCTGGCGACATCCCCCACGTACTAGCTCGCATGCCTTGCCTTAATACCGTCGCTGCAGAATGTATACATTGTATACATTTGCATACGTCTTATCCATTGCGGTATGCGAAAGCCAACCTTGTGTAGCTGTCGTTTTCGGGATTGACGGTATCATGCTGTACTATTTATTCAACAAGCAAGAGTGTTCATTATCACAGTGGTGGTGCAACCAAGACAGTGACGAACTTCGACTCATAATCAGCAGTACTAGTAGCAAGTTCTTGTAGTGTTTCCTGTGTAGAATTAAGGAGAAAGTTTGCACGAACCATCTGAAAACAGACCGTAATGCTAGAGGGCGCCATGACGCTTCGTCTGGAGTACGGGAGTACGGCAGGATGCATGCTGCAGGCCGGGCTAAGAAGCAAGGCCACCAGAGGCTGCTTGGCAACCGTAACACCGCGCCCTCTTGGGATAAAACTACTGTAAGGTAAGTATCTCTTATTTTCACCGTTGCTGCAGTGATTCCTTGTCGATGTCGGCAATGACCAATTTGAAATATAGGTAAACTGTTCTTTTCAAAAGGGCGAAATTGCAAACAAAAATCCTTCGAAATGTTTGTATTGAGCTATCTATTTAAGCTCAGCTAGAATGTTGCCCATAGCACAGTAGTTTTAGTAATAACTGGCGGAGTTTGAAGAAAAGAGGAAGGGGTGGACATTAGCTTACACCAGGGGGTGATGTTTAAGGCGAACGGAAGTGGCCCTCAATGAACTATATTGCCCATGGACATGTACATGTTGTCGTCTACACAACGACGAATGAGGGAATGGCTATAATCGCGAACCTTTAGCGACGCCCTTGATTTATTGAAACAAGAAACGTGAGGACATGTTAAACAGTTTTGCGCGTGCCCAAACCATATCCGGATAATGCAGCTGTGGTCGCTACATTGTTTTCGTTGTCTTCCTTTTGCCTATTCAGAGTCACGCGCGGGAT